ATTAAGTCCTGATTAGGAAGAATGAAAGTCACTACTCTAACCCGGCTAAATATAAGTCTTAAAGGTGCCTTTAGATTTTCTTCATCTCTCTGATGGGGGGATGAAAGTTTTCACAAATCTCATAACAATGGCTGACCACTTAACTCAATCAACAACATTTAAATCGTTTTATTCTGGACTGAATTAAGTCCTGATTAGGAAGAATGAAAGTCTCTACTCTAACCCGGCTTAAAGGTGCGTTTAGATATTATTCATTTCGCAAAGGGGCCTCTCAGTGGCACAATGAGATAAAATTTGAGACCGCTAGAGTCAATCAACAACATTTAAATGCTACTTTTTATTGACGGCTCTATGAGATCTATACAGTACTTTAGGAGTCTTCAGTCTCTAGTACAAAGAAACGCAAAGCCTTTTTCTCCATTGTGTTCAAGTTGCCCAAACATATTCGTTCTTTTGCCGAATGAAATTCACAAAAGTCCTCTACGATCGCTTGGTATATTTCTTATGAGAAACTTAACGTACCTTTCGTAAGAGCAGATGTCATAAATAAAGAAAACGATTTTCTGTGAAAAGTAATGTTTTGCATTTCGAATACGCTTCATTGCACAGAAATTTAATTCAGGCATTTATGCTGATCGGTAGAGTTTGTCGTTAGCGATACGTTTTTTTTTTTTTTTTGTTTTTTTTTAACATTTTTTTTTCAAAAAATTTTTGCATTTAAAAAAATTTTCCTTTTTTTTTTTTTTTTTTTTTTTTGCATTTTTAATCTTAATTTAAATTTTTATATATTTATTTATTGTTATTTTTTCTCAGGGGATCGTATTAAGCAAAAGTGATAAGGAAATCTCTTTTCATATATTTTTATATATATGTTTTCTTTGTTTGTTTGTTTGTAAGACTTACCTGTTTTTCCACAAGCGGTCTTGTATAAATAAATTCTTTTTTAGCTGAATACAACTCCGGCGGTATACCTTTATATGAATAACGCAAGGCGTTGTCTTCATTTTTAGACAACTGTGAAGTGGACAATGATAAGCCATTAGTAATGCGTTGATGATGGCAGGTAAAGTTAACTGAACCAATATCTGGCAATAATCGAGATATTTCACAGGAGTGTTGTGCATCATTATCGGATTGAATGCAAGAGTTAGAATTACAAGAGATATGGGATAAAGAACACGAAGCTGAGCTTGAGCGTAAAGTATTCGTAACGCTGTCATTACTTAACGGCTGACACAGGCAATGACAGCAATAAACTGACGGGTGATCAACGACTAATGTGTCCGTAGCCGATGTATTTAAGAGTTTTTTGTGATGTTGATGCTGTTTACCGGCAAGATTCGATGAGGGGGTTAATAAACTTTGCACTTTAGCCATAATCAGTGAATCAATTTATTTATTAAAAAATGCGGCAAAATGTGTTAACATTTGTTATTTATTTTTAATTTTAAAATCATTAAGTTTTAATTTGTTTTGCATACATTTTCATTGTCATGAGCCACACTTTTCATTTTATTTATTATTTCTTTTTTTTTTTTTTTTCTTTTTTTTTATTATTAATTATTTTCTTTAAATAAATATCAGCAAAAAAGAAAACTGTCTTTATAAACTTTTTAAAAGTCGAATCGAGAAATAATAAAAAAAAGCAATTTAATGCTTTTTGCCTGATGACAGTACAAGAGACGTGTAGTGGGTAATAAAAAAAAAAGAATAAAAAAAGAAGAGAGCTATTGTACCGAGAGCGCTAAGACTATTAAATATTTTGCGACTACAGCTCATCCGATACCAAATTGCATGATTCTTCATATGTATTATGTATTACAAGCTTTTTTGGTTTGCTGTTGTTGTTGTTTTTTTATTTATTTATTTTTTTTAAATTAGTAATTTTATTAGTTCTTTGCAATTAATATGTATAGAACAAATAACTTTTCAAAAAATTTCTCAATTTTTTTTTTTAACTTTTGGTTTGACAAAAACGCGCAACACGTTGTTTCAAAAAATAAAATAAAAAAAAGCCGCGAAAAAATCTCGTCTTTTTTTCCCTTTTTACTTCCAGGCACAAAACTTTTTTTTCTTTTTTTTTTTTTTAAAGCAACACGTATTAAGAAAACTAATTTTTTTTTTTAATTAATAATAAACATTTAAAAAAAAATATTTCTTTCCTTTCAAAAAAAAAAAAATTTTCCCTTTTTTTATATATTTTTATTTTTTTTTAAAAAAAAAAAAAAAAAAAAAAAAAAGAAGCAAATTTTGGGTAAAATTTTTTGCGCGCTTGTCTGTTCGATTTGGTTGCTTCGTTCATAAACGCGTTCAATACTGCTACTATAGTACTCTGGTGTGATGTTTGTCTTTTCGTCTGGCCAAGCTTTGACGAAAAGTAGTTAGCAGCACCGGGCAAAAGCAGCCGCCGCTGCTGCTATTATGGTATTAGTAGTGCTATTAGTAGCAATCGTAATACAAAAATGTTGTTGCCATCAACACTGTTAATGCCGTTTAGTGTTGTTTTTTCTTTATTTATTTATTGTTTTTTTTTTTTCTATGTATTTTTATTAATATTACTATATAAGCAATACTGTGTCGTCGTACAGCTAGCTGAGCTTCGGCTTCTATGCATACACCTACAGATGAAAAAAAAAAAAAAAGAAGGAAAAAAGTTCTCATTTACATACTATACAAAAACCTTAAATATTTATTAATGCACACACAAACACACATTCATTTAGCTAGCCGGCAACGGCAACAAATGACACTCACGAAAAAAAAAAAGGAAAAAAAAAACAACAAAGAGCTACAGAAGAAGAAAAAGAAATAAACATTAAATAATATGTTAGCTAAAGAGAATGAATATATCTACTACACATACGCGTATATATATGTATATATATAAATTTAGATGTATGTTCATTCTCTTTGCGTGAAAAGTATCTAATGCCTAAGCTCAGTTTTTATTGCCTTCGACACCACATTAATGCAAACAACACACGTGAATTTTAGTCATATTCATTCTCTTTCCTTCTCATTGTCACTACTCTCTCAAAGCTTAAATCGCAAGACACAGATCGCAGCTTTAACTCAAACTTGACTGCTATTATTAGTAACATTTCACATTAAGATACATAGTACCCGGAATGGATGGATCATTTTAAAGGTCGACGTAAAAAACTAAAACGAAATATCGTCACAATAAATTGCTGGCTCTTGCTTACTCAACGCTAGTGCTAGTGCTAGTGCGCGGGACATGAACATACTGTGGTATTTAGTGTATTCATACTTTCCCTAACATTTTTGAGTTATTTAAGCTGATAATGGCGGGAAAAAAGCTATCCCACATCCATACAAGTTTTTAAGAGCCCGGAAAAGTGTTAGTTCGTTGACTCGTTCTAATCAACCGGCATGAACAATCAGAAGAGCGACAAACAGTAGAAAACCTCATATTCTTAGAGAACGTCAGCTAAAGAAATTAATATATTTTTGGAGCTCACTTACAATATTTTGCCCGACATTTTCAACATGGAAACTTAGCATTTCGAATGCTTATGTTTTCAATTCACTTGGGACCTGAAACAAAGTTCATTGAAAGAGATCGAATACCGTACCACAATTAGGTTGCGAAAAATTTGTCCCCGATACCTTAATAGCATGGAATTTGCTATGAAATCAATAAAATAAATTTTAATAAGTAAATCTTCATATAAATGTATAAACATTTGAGTAAACATTGCATGAATATATGAATAAATTTTTTTCACTATATGAATATATGAACAAATGAATTTATAAATATAGGAACTTATGAATACATGAATAAACATTTGGTTGAATATATGCATAGAAGCTTATTATGTAAGTGTATGTATGCAGGGATATATGAATATATTAACGTATGGATGTGTGAATGTATGCATATATGAGTATTTGGATATATGGAAGTTTGAATACCTTAATATATATATTGACATATGAATATATATGAACATTTAAATGTATGTATATATGAACATCTATGAATATATGAATGCTTGAATATATATAAACATTGGAATGCAGCATATATCAATAGATATGTACACATATGAACGTATGGATATATGAACATATGAATATGGTCATACATGAATATTATATGAGTATATGAATATACGGATATATGAGCATATTTGAATATATCAATGGGCATATATTGGTAAATGAATTTATGAATACATGAACATTTGAGTGGATGTATGTACGAATATTAATGAACGCATGGATGTATGAATGTATGGATAGGTAAACATTTGAACGTATGTATGTTTATGAATACATGAATGTACGGATGTATGAAAATAAGAATATAGGGGTACATGAACATATGAATAGATGAACATACGAATGTATGAGCATTCGAATATATCAATAGGTACATTGGCACATGAATGTATATGAACATTTGAATTTGTGAGCATTTGAATAATATGAATATCTATGAATATATGAACGTATGGATATAAAAACATTTGAATGTAGAATATATCGATAGATGTGTATACATGTGAATACATGAACATATAGATATACGAACATATGAATATGAATAGTAATACATGAATATTATACGAGCATATGAATACATATGACAAATCTAAACCTATAAATCCATGAAAGCACAAATAAGTGAATATATATAAATGAATATGTGAATATAATCATGTAATCTATGCTAGTATCTATTTTAGCATTTCCCGATACTTTTCGCACGAGATAAATGAATCTTTGTTTTATATTAAGAGATTATGATACTTAACTGCTCTCTCTTCTCCTCGTCTCTCTCTCTCTCTCTCTCTCTCTCTTTCTGTCTCTCTCTCTTTCTGTGTCTGCCTTATTTCTTAAAGCGATTATTTTGCGCTCTTCGTCTAAATAAAATAGCATTTGTAATAACCTTTCAGACTTAATTGTCTCTTCAATGTAAATATTATTTACATACTAACAAGTTATTAGCATAATAGTTGTCGCTGTATTCGCCTCTCGTCGCTCTTTCTCTAGAGAGCCCAAATGTCAGCTAAGTATAGTCGACTGTAATCACTTTTGTTTTATTATTTATTTTCCGTTTAAAATCACATTTATTTTATTATAATTACGTGTAAGATCTGATAAGCTTGTCAACGTCGAACGTTATCACTTTAACATCATCAGAGCTCTTCCTCCATACAATGCTGTATGCAAACGACTAAGTACGTATGCACGCATATACACATACGTGTATATTATTACCTATGTACACTTTTGTGGGTTGTAAACTTTACTTCCATAACTGATTTTTATCAGTTCATATATATCTTGTCTTATCTCACTCCGTTTTGTTTAATGTTTGCAGATCACTGTTCACATCCTCTCACAACTTTAACAATGTTGCACAATAGAATGCATATTAAATTCATTTAAATTAAGGTTTTTTTTATATAACGTTCTTTACGATAGCATTTGTTTGAAGCTCTAACAAGGAATCTTGAATGCTCTTGAGATAACTTTTGCATAAAAATTTAAAATTTTTGTTTATTCATCGTGAAAAGAAAAAAAAAAATGTTTGGGCCGATGGGCAAACGAACGTATAGATAAATGGGCAACCGCAAGAACGGATGCCCGTAAAGCGGAAGATCAGTATAAAGAGCGCTAGACGAGAAAAGGGAACGATCGGATATGTCGAAGAAGTGTAGAAAAAAAGGATGGAACACATCCGTAAAAAGACATACGCAACGATGGGCCGTTGTGACTACGGAGATGGGCGGAGAGTGTGAGCAGTGACAAGAGCGACAAAAAAATTGAAAAAGAAAGACAAAAATATAGAGGCAGACAAAGAAGATAGACAAGTAAACGAAAGCATAGGTGAACGGAAAGATGCTTGTAGGGATGGAGCTAGTAGCAAAGAAGCCAAGGAGACGGACGGCTTAGTTTTCGTGAGCTTACCACGTCTTGGAAAAGTCATCGACAGTGGTAGCAGATACGCTATTTATTATATAGGGAGCCTTAGATATAGCAATATGAATTGGGGCCTAAAGAATCTTGCTCCTTGTACATTGAAAATCCAAAGATGTATTGGTTAAATGGTTTTCAAGAAATATGGAAAATCCAAAAGCAGGAGTATGTAATAATCCTAATACATTACATACGGGGATGTACTGGGGTTGGATTGCCCACTCACTCTACACCATGTGTGCTCAGTAAGAACTGAACTGGGAACAGTAAGAAATGAACTGCAAGACACTCCGGTGGAAACAGCAATCACATAGGCTTAGGTTGCACGTTAGGGCATTTATATATCCCGTACACTCAGTAGGAACCTTAGAAGGAAACCAGCAGAACTAACGATATCTGACCCGTCGGTGAAAACAGCAATACAAAAATAAATCACATAGGCTTGGCACGACTTCGTGAAGACGGCATATAGATATATATTGCATGTGCTCCATAGAATTGTT